CGGACCTTGTCGAGCTTGAACTCTTCTGCAATAGATGTGAGTGGAAGGTTTAGCTTATTTCTGCCAAACAGGGCAACCGTGGACAGGCATCTCGGCACTCCTAGCCAACGTCGGAAGTAGGAATTGGCCTTTCTGTCTATTAAGTCGACTGTAGATATAGAGATGTTGTATGTCTTAAGTGGCCACTTGAGTCTCGGAAACAGCATGAACTGCACACACCAGATTTTCAGTCTCCCTGGTAACTCGCACTTGTCAATCAGTCTCAGGCCGTTACATGCTTGGTCGACTACATCCTGGCCTCTACCTCTGTCACTCAGACTACTTGTATACAGCCGGCCTAAACTCTTGACTGGTTCTTCCTGAATGTTCGGGATTTGTTGGCCGTTTACTGAGAAGGTCCTGTTGCTGATCACTCCTTTCCTAAGAGACAGGCTTCTAGACTTTGCTGGTTTAAACTGCATACCTGCCCATCCTGTCAGTTCTTCTAGTCTCTGCAGCAGACGTTTGGTGCACGGTGCAGTACGGAGAATGCTTGTCACATCGTCCATGAATGCACGGAGTGCTGGCATCCTCTCCCCCGTTGGTGCCTTGACTCCTCCCACCACCTGTTTGGCACCAACCAGGAGAACTTCAAATCCCATGATGAACAATAATGGTGAAATGGAACACCCCATGGCAATGCCTTTCTCCACCTTCTGCCAGCCTGTGGTATAGTTCCTGGTGCTGATGCTTAGCTTAAAGTCAGAGAAGTAGTTGTGGACCATCTGTTTCACTTCCTTTGGTACCCAGAAGAACTCCAATGCATACTGGATGACCTTGTGTGGAATAGACCCATAGGCGTTTGCCAAGTCCAGCCAGACGACATGGAGGTCTTCCTTTCTGCTCCTAGCAAGCTGGATCTGGTTCCAAATCGTACTGGCGTGTTCTGTGCAACCTGGGAATCCTGGGATTCCTGCCTTCTGGATTTCTGTGTCAATAAGGTTATTAGAAATCAGATAACTGGTGAGTCGTTCGGCTAGCACAGTGAAGAACAGCTTGCCTTCCACATTGAGCAAGGAAATGTTCCTGAATTGCTGAATAGAGGATGAAATCTTCTCATAAAAACAGTGAACAAAGCCAAACATCTAGTATCATATAAAAACATTGAACATTTTTTAAGCCAAACATTCTCCTTCTAGCTCTGATTGGCAGATGTTTTATTATTAAATATTAATTGTATTTTGTTGTGTGGCACTGTTAATATAAGTTATAAACTTAAGTGCAGTGCCACACTGTCCTAATTGTTATGTTTTGATGAATTAAAAAAACATCTACTAGTAGACCAGAAATTTTGGATGCCCTTCTTTCAGTTATACAGTTTCATGAATGACACAATTTGTCATGTACATGGACATGAATATTACACAAACACATGTATATACAATAAGAACCTACTTCCAGGTACTTCCACACAGATGCGTGAGCCAACATGACAGAAATTCCCATGAAATGGCTAAAATTCTTGAAGTGACATATACTTATTAGGTTCGCTCTTGAAGCTTAAAAAAGCCTAGGTATCCTTTGAAAGCCCTTAAATTCTTAGTACTACCAAAGCAGTCACAACATACTGGGCTGGTTTAAAACAAATTTTGAACGTTTGATAAAATTGAAAATGGAAAACTGTAACAACTAGAAAGACAGACTTACTTAGACTGTTAGAACTAAAAATTTAGCATTTTTTGGTTAATACAGAACCTGGATATTAAGTTATACAATGTTTTTGTTGTAAATCAGGAAAAAGCTTGCAAATCCAAGAAAGAGCCAATAAAAGTAGTGCTGTTTTGTCATTTTATACCACTCTGAAATATCTAACCAACTAAAGAGTAATGTTTCAAAATAGCTTTGAACATTTCAACAAGCAAATAATCATTCTGGAATTTTCCATGGGGAAAAGTCCCACCAATATTCTACCCTGGTTTCCTTTCAGTTTCACGGACAAGGGGGACAAATCTTAGACCATTAGTATTCGATAATTTATTAACAAAGCAACGTCCTTTTTCTCTTCAAAATTTAACTCGAAAAGTAGCAAATTTTGAAACTGCGATATTCCGAGAGAACACGTGGAGAGTGAGGAAAACAGCGAAGGCATATTAAAAAAAACGACCAAAAACGAGAAATTAGCGCGTTGTATCCTCAAAATCACACAAATTTACCACGAATATACCACAACGTGTTGTTACCAGTTTGTAGGTAACCAATTCGACGACATGGTTTCTTGTCTTACCTTGTGAAAACTCTGCCCTCCCCCGACCACGCTGTCCTCCTTCCAACGGGCGCCATTTTCTCGTCTTCTCCAAAAATCCACCAGGTCGGGAAATGCACATTTTTCCCCTCAAAACTCCAGAAAACGGCACAACTCCGCCGTGGAAACATCCCCGAAGATTTGTTCTACACGTTGGGATGAATATTTTTCGAACCAGAAGCTAAAAATTTGCTAAAAAGTTGAAAATAATTCCTACTCCTCCTCGCGTGTCACCAGCAGACACAGACTGAGTGGGCGATGCCACGTGTGATTTTTACACAGCTGTGCACAACGGCTGGTCTAATTTCTACCCTGATGACCACAACTATTTTACCATCAAAAGTCAATCCCCTCAAAAATAACGGTTCTCTGTCCACCATTTCGGACTAGAATGCGTCAAAATTACACAAAGGTAGCGTCAGCAGCAACAAGTATTGGTGACGGACGTGTAGTAGCCGAAATCTGCTAATCTAATTAGTACATGTTCGCGCGCCACATGTTTACGTGCAAACGGTGCCTGTCCTTGGTGCTGAACGCCATCCGCACAATGTTTTACCACACACACGCGCTCCTTTCAGATCGTTCATGAATTACAGGGACTAGCTAAAAGGGTAAAATCTAGCCAAAGCTTACAGAAATATAGGCATGCTCTTGAGGGGGTTATTAACGCTCTACGCTATTAAAAATCATAACGACAGCGGCTACATATTGCTTCTAAAGGGACTGCAATCGAATTGTCACCAACAACAAGCGTTAGACTGTTGAAAAAAGTATTACGATGGTCACATACCTGTGACAGGACCTTCTATAATTGTTATGCTATCTCATTCCAGAGTGCTCAGGTGTGAATAATGATACATTTGTATGTCCAACCCTGGAGAAAAGTCACGGTTATTAGGCCACATCAATTAAATTTCTTGGTTAACGGATTTTTCTAGAAAAATACTGGAGCGGGCGGGCAAAAAAAAATAAAACAGACCTAGGCATCCTATTGTGGCCGAAAATGGTACGATCGGAGCCATGAAGTCAACACACCAGGTTGGTTCAAATTTCAAACAATGAATTTTGAACTTTTAATGATACCACTGCATTGAAAGATGGAATAACTGTAACAACTAGGAAGAAAAGGACTGCTTTCAACTGTTCAGGGCAAAATTGAGCATTTTGCAGTTGATTCTGAATTTTTTTTTTTTTTTGCAAATCAGAAAAAAATGAAGCGGGCAAATCTGTTAACCAAGAAATTAAATTGGTGTGGCCTTCGATGCAGCGATGCAGCAGAAGTACATTCGATGGCTTTCGCTGCGCAGGACGCCTTGAATGCCCCCCCCCCCCAACACACACACCAGTGATCTTAGCTACATATACTCAGATCAAGGGCATGATTGCTCAGAGGCAATTACTGTATATTGATGATTCGGTGACATGAAGTTATGGGGTCCTGTCCAATGTAATGTCTACACGAATGTAAATCTGTAACAGTAATCTCTGAGGCCGTATTATGGGGTGGTAGAAATTGGGGTGATGAGAGAGTATGTGTGTACTACATGTATAACATTCCTTTTTTACTTGCATACAACGTAGCTGCAAACTTTGAAATAGTAATGAAGCTATAAACTTTGAATTACACACATTTCCTGACATTTATGGCAAACTTTATGAAATAGTTATGCGTTATTTTTCCTTACTGAATTAGCAAACACTCCTGGTTCACAAAATATGGCCATGTTGACTTGATTATATGGATAACATCCTCTGGGAACTCCAAAACTGATGCGAGCATGCGAAGAAAAAAAGTTTGGCAAAAAAAAAGTTCGGCTTTCATGATGAAATCTATGTGGCTATGAAGGTTGAACAAATGACACAAAGTATGTTATGGCAAATAATCTAGTCTTCTAATTCATTTCTTTACATTTTTGTCCTTTTCGTTTCATTTTGGCATTCTACGACATTGGTATCGTTTTGCAATATCTTATTTTGCAACTTACAGTATATATTTGCTTATTTTGCAACTGCTTTGTACGATTACCCTTTGGTTGACAACTTTTTTTTTTGAAATGGCTGAAAATTAATGCGCACGCGGATGTCATCCATATAATCAAATCAACTTGGCCTAACTAAGAAAAAAAGAGGCTCACAAGAAAAATGAAGTCCATTGGTCCAAAACTTTATTCCCTGTCACATGGTTCACTGGACGATGCCCTGTTGGAAGCAAAACAGAAGGAAACCACATCAAATATCTATAGTAGAATTTCTATCAAGGTTTCCCCTGTAAAATGACCGACTGATCTTTGCAAAACCAGGAGACAAAGTCATCGCTCACTCACCATCAAGCGTATTCTATGATTGCTTTCTATTCTATCAGTACTTTTGAGCTTTCAATTTGTGTTGCATGGTCTTTCTTGTGTTTTTATGATTCTACAACCCCAGTTCAAGGTACTGTCATTGGAACCTTCAATATACATTTCTGCAAAAGTCAAATCTTATGACAAAGTCCAAGCTGAGGTTGAACCATTCTTGAGTCATGATTATCATCACAAAGTTGATCTCTGAGGTTACCATAAATTTTTTTGTTGGATCTTTTGCCACTAGGGTTTCACAATAAACATCTATATAACTCTCCAATATAATGTTATATACATGAATGTACCCCTACACACTATATACAACAGCTAAGGACCTGACTCGCACTTCAAAACCACAAATGGGCAAAAAGACAACTAGAGTATCAGACAAGAGCATAGCTATTCTGCGTCACTCGTTCTGATGCACATCTGGATGCACAATAGCAGGAAATGCTGTTGTGCACCAATGGTCTGACTCTGGCAAAGTGCAACTGCAAACTACAGCATTGCAGTCTGTGCATCAATGACAAAGAGCAACAGCAATGAGTGCACTTCGCAACTGCAATGAGTGCACAATATTGCAGCGACCATGGTACACAACAGCATTATACATAGTTACGTGTGTATGACAAACATTTTTTCTGCAGCATGACAACTAGCCTCTTGCACAACAGTGCACTGCTTGGTGCATGGAATACAAAGATCACACACACAGAGCCATTAGACATATTTATAGCCACTGCTACTTGCTACAATATTGTCTCCAGTTTTTTTTATATACCACTGCACACCATATCCCCCAATTCATAACTTTTCCCAAGCATATTTCAAGTCTGTTTCAAAACGTTATGAAAACACAATGTTTCATGATTCTGAATTTAAGTGCTAACATGTGATTTTACCAGGAAAAACTGAACACAGATATTGATTCATATTTTTTGCAAGCTAAAGGAAGGAGAGAAATTATTGTACAACCAAATTCTGACGATTTGTCGAAATGTGTGGGTCTTTGGTGCATTTTTTAGCATACCAATTTTCTCTGTAGGGTTGCGTAGTTTTTTTTTTCTTTTCTACAAATAAAATCTAGACTGTATGTGCATACACAACTAGTTATTAACACATGGAAGTGTGTTAATTTACAAACTGGTGATATACATACTTCAGACCTCATCCTTAAATGTAAATCTTTAAACAATGAAGTGTTGGTTTAAGTTTTCATATGCATTTATGTTCCCTTCTTAAACTAAATGCTCCATGTTGAAAAATAAAGTCAACCTATTCTGCCACACAACTATGATTATGATACATGTAACGTTTTCTTCTAATGCCCAACGCTTATGCTACATGTTGACATATTTCTTGAATATACTTTCGACAAAATGTTCACATCTCATTCTTATTAGCTCAACCAAAGGGAAGACAAACAAATTAAGAAATAGAAATGAAAGGAAGATTGCAACCAAACTAAACTACAGAATAGCCTGAATTCACCTGCACACTTTCTTGTTGACCTGCCATTTCTTGTGCTAAACTTCCACAGATTTTATGATACCTTAACATGGGCTAATGCTGTTTTCGTACTATTTTCATCCCCTGTATGTAATGTTTATTGTTTTAATATTATTTTATATCTATTGGAATTGTGGCCAATTATGGAATGTAATTGTTATGTTCCCATCCATTGCACTTTAATAAAACAGGTAATATAATCATTAACCAGTGTCTATAAACCATTCTAATCTTACAAAGCTCAGAAAAACTGTATCTTCCTTTGTTTTACTATGAAACCCAAAGAGCAGAATGTGCTAATATATGACATTGAAGGTCGAACCATTATAATATTATAATAAGTGAGGACTCGTGGGTAAGTAGAGTGGACTGTTCCGTGTCAGGGGTGAAAGGTGAGGGTTCAGGAGCAGCAGCCCTGGCTCTGCTTCTCTTGGTCCACGTACTCCGTCACGCTGAACTTGGGGTCGTTTGGTTTCCTGGTTTTCCGTGATTTCAGGTCCCTGTAAAGACAACGATCAAGGATTCATAGCATAGGGAAAATGACAACGCAAGAAATATTGAGGTCAGTTTGCTCGCAACCAAAAATTATGATCATTATTATATATAACCCACAACTAATTGTGTTCAAGTGCTAAATTGTAGAGTAAAGTATAATGAAGGCCGACACACACTTTAAATTTTAAACGATGAATCTCCAATACTTTAGTGTTCAAAAATCATAATGAAATAGGGTGCAGTTGTAAGACTTTTAAAGGCTGGAATAAATTAGAAACTTGTTTCAGCCAAGGTTGCCAAAGTAATAATAAAAGAAACTATAATATGCATAGACCAGAAAAATTCAGTTTGACCAAAGATCTATTGAAAGCTCCTTCAATGGTAATTGACTCGAACAGAGAAACAACTGTGACTGACCATAAAAAGCATTTTTACTCAAGAATCCTTTAAGGTTAACAACCATTGCTCACTAAAGCCACTGGGTACCTGACACTTGAATCTATACAGTCATGAATGAAGTCTCAGAACTTACTTTGCCACTGCCATAAAGGCCAGCTCTACATTGAGTCCTGTCTTGGCACTTGTTTCCATGAAGGCAATCCCAAAGTCCTGGAGGAAATATAACGTGGACATGTCAAACATTATTACATAAAGGTAATAAATAACATGATCACATCAGATCATTTTGTTGCAGAATGATGTAAGCTGGCTACAACAGGTTTCCACGTCTTCCAAAAACAGATTGTTTTACTTGATTTGATTTGATTATAATTTGATTTTATTGAAATTGCAACGATGCAATACATGTGGAACAGAGGCAGCTGTTACTGAAACGAATACTGGACAGACAATACTCATTTTCACTTGAGTTTAATGGGGAAAGTGCCTTTCCCAAGGGCACAAGATCGGTGGCATGTCAGGACTTGAACCCGGGACCTCTTGATTCCGAGTTGCGCACGCTGCCGTTCAGTGCCACACGACCCCACAACAATACTTCTCATTATTATATTAATATAACTGTCACTGTAATTATAATCTCTTCTCAGAGCAGAGACATGAACTCTGAACCAACCAATCAAAATTTCATCTTTTTCATCTTTGCCGGGGCTCAAAGATGTTATGTGAGCTCCGGCTACACCCCCATGCATATAGCCCCTGATGGGGCACTTTAGGGGGGGGGGAGGCCTTGGTCTAAGGCGGGCAGGCCTCCAACCTGGCCCGGAAGGACTCAACGGTGGGAGCCATAACTACCGGGCCAGGCAAGGTGTTCCATTGGGGGATTGTGCGCGCATGCGAGGGAAATTGAACCATGTGAAACCATGAGGTGAACCCGCAATGTCACCAGACAATTACTCTAGGATCAATCACAATCTTTCCAAACATGTCCCTGCTCTGGGTTTGACTGATATAGCTGATCCCCCAGGATTTGGGCAATCAAATTGTAGATTTCTGTCAATGACTGATCTCCCCTTATAGATCCTCTTCAAGGTGAAATTGTGTTCAGCAAGGGAGCAACATTGTGTGTTTGAGCAAGCTCATAGCATTATCAAAAGACTGCAACATACATGTATTACAGGTAAAACAAAAGCTGCTGTAAAATTAATGAAAAAAAAAGTTGGCACAAACTTTTACAGAGAAAGGATATCTGTATATATATATATATATATATATAGTCTCTACCAGACTCTTTTGCAGGCTGAAAAATAGCAGAAATCGGCCTAAAAAGAATTTAGCTGGCCAGGGAAGTGGGACGGCCATAGAGGGCCCTGGAGTTTGCATCTATGCCAGGCAAACTGAACCCTCTATATGGCCGTCCAACTCCCCTGGCCAGCTACATTCTTTATAGGCCGATTTCTACTACCTACAACATTCAGCATTTATTCAGCCTGCAAAAGAGTCTGGTGGAGACTAGGATACTTGTATCAGATTCTTATAATTCTTATTATAAGTTATAATGACATAGAATTGGGCATGATGCAGTACATTTTGTAAAAAGCAAGTTAAGTACCATTTTTTTAATTATAAAACTTTCCACATCAGTGCACATCTTTTATTTGTCAGTAATCGTGGTGATGATGCTGTGTAAAAGACTATGAATAAGAACTAGGAAGGTGGGTTAGAAGATTATCTTACCCTGGGAGCAACCTGTCATTTTCAGAAGGCAGATAATGTGTACCCTATTAAACATGGATTACATCCAACCAGTACTAGTAACGCATATATACATTTCAATAAGCTATCATGCCGGCACCATACAAATGTCAAACCTGAAATCTAGAGGACATCTAGGACACTACATTGTGCAAAGTGTGTTTAGTTTTACAGTGATTTAAAAGCTTTTGGTATCTGTATGTTAGCGCTATATAGTGTTACATGGACAGCGAGGGTGTATCAGCAAATTTTCCAAAAGATGTGTGCCGACGTGACATTTACGATGCAAAAGGTAGCCTAAAAAGTCGTTATCGAACGGGAGGCAGTCTATCATTTTGCCGCGTTGATGAAAGGCCTTCATACGTTGTGGAAGGCACTTTATTCCCCACGCTTTCAGCACTGAAAATGTCCCGGGCCTTTCATCTGGGGCTTTCGACAGAATGTCGACAACTTGCGTGATATCCTTTTCGTAGAACTACTAGAAGTTGAATACTGTAATTCTTGATTTTTGTCACGGTGCTTTTATGTTCACTGTTTTCACTGTCACTTCTGTGCAGTGAACTTATCATAATGATTACAGTTAACAAATAATTCCTGGACGTTCTTTTTCCTGCACCTGTCACCACCGTGAATATATATTTCCGTGAACATGTCCACTTTTCTTAGACCGTGAAATTTTGCTACCGTGAACATAAAGTGAATTACAGTATTGACTTTGAACATGGAACTTCAGCAAAAGAGTTCTTGTAGATGATACATGTAGTTCATTTTCAGTCCCAACCTGTTTTTTGGGAAGTATTGTATGACTTCAACTTGAAGTCAACTTTTGTTCACTCCCAGGCCACTATAATTGCGGAGTACACAGGAAATTTGGAGGGACTTTTCCGGACCCAAAAGCCGGGACGTGTGCCTGATAAACAAAAAAAAGGCTGACATTCTGATGTTGATTATTCTTCTATTGTCTAAAAAATGTCCCAAAGTGTCTTTTTAGTTTTAAAAAGTGGACCAAAAAGTGGACCTTTGAGCCTTGTGGGGGGTTCTTCCGAACCCCTCCTGGCTACGGGCATGTCACTGGCCATTGGACCACCTTTAATTTCGAGCCCTGATCAGTACAGTACTATAGTGTGAAGGTGACCTTGGAGGTGACATTGTGGGCACTTCCCCGATTAGATTAATTCTACAGCAATCTCATTACTGTAATGGCCAACCGGAGGATAATCTCATAGGCGAGGAATGTCATCATCAACTATGCATGGAAAACCCTGAGACTCTATGTACGAGATCACTGGAAAAGGTGAACTTTTATATACTGGGCCTCACTTGATTGAAGTAGAAGCCACCATTGTCAATATTTCAACAGGGTTCTTCATGGCAAAAATCTAAAAGGCCAAATTTTACCACGATCAGTGGTAACTAATTTATCAGTCTCCACTGATTGTTTCAGAAATCTGTAGATTTTTATGTGTTTTTAACATTCAATTTGATGATTTGATGAGGTATTTTGTCTTTGTGGTACAGTTGAAAACACAATGATCATTTAGATCTGAGAAAATATACAATTTTGTAAGGTGCAAGCACGTCTAACCCTCGGATGATGGGGAACAACAGACAATAAACCGGATACGCCAAAAAGCAGTTACTCAAGCAACTGGATATGATTTTGGAAACGGTCAGACGTTTCAGCTAGTATCCACTAGCTTTCGTCAGGGACTGAGAGACCAGAGGAGAAATGCAGGTTTATAAGCACAAACTATTGATTGATATGCAAATAAAGTGAAGACAAAAAGTCAAAAAGGGAACAAAAGTCAGACAAGCCAAGGCAAGATGCAAATTAGTCAGAAAGCTCCTGTTATGCAATGAACCAGATAGTGAGTGCATGAGTATGTCACATTGTGAGTTTTTAAGGGGTAATTTATGACTCCCTGTACAAGTAGAAGTATAATGCTCTAGTCACTCATGACCAGGAGTCCCCCGTACTGAAGTGCCCAGTAATGGGAATTAGCAGCAATTTGGACACTCAGAGCACATTTAGGTTGATGGATGATGATCTGATGGCATTTAGAGAATATTGAGACCATTTGAATGCCATGACCTTGACATGCATTTGCTCCTGACTATATGAGGTTGCTCAAGGAGCAGATGAAGAAAATGGGTCTACCATGTAATAGACACCCATGCCCGTAGCCAGTTTTTGGTCCACTTTTTATGTAAAGGTCCAAGATTTTTCTTGAAAAGATGGACTGGAATCATAGAAAAACGAAATCCTCTCAAAAACGCACAAAATGCCATTTCAGAAGGTTCATTTTTCAAAATTTTTCAAACTTTTCAAAAATGCTCCCCCGGACCCCCCTAGGAACCTTGCGCCTTTGGCGCTCGAGGTCCCCTCAAGCAGTAGTAAGAACCCCACCATTCAAAATCCTGGCTACGGGCATGACACCCTGTTCTGAGAATGTAACACTTCAAGTCTAAAAGTTTAGGCTATTCCATTTCAAAATCTGGTGTTTGGGCCGTCAGAAGTGTCTACTCAACTCAAGCAAGTAAAAAATGTAATAGACACTATTCCTGTTGATGATGATAACGGTAAAAAGTCAAAATTTCAGTCACCCACTATGTAATAGACACCCTCTTCTGAGAAAAGTAACACTTCAAGTCTAAAAGACATTTAAGCTATTCCATTTCAAAATCTCATGTTGAGGCTGTCAGAACTGTCTACTCACTCGAGCAAGCTTCTCGCCTTCTTCTCTCTTCACAACTCTCTCTGCCTGCATATCAGCCTGAGGAAAAAAAACAAGTTATTAAGGCTTAAAAATGACAATTTTTAAAAAATTATCATTGCAATGTTCTTGTCAAGTTTCTTCCAAATGAATAAAGATAGTCAATGCAATTATTTGAAAGGAATTTCTACTTATACCTACAGATAGTATGCATTGTATTAAAAAATTGGTACTAAGTAAAAGATACATGTTTATACTTTGATTTTCTGCAAAATGTGTTATTTCATCAGTTGTCATCATTATGACTTCTCCCTTACCATATTCCATGATAGTCTTACCTTGTTCCCCAGCAGCATGATGACCACATCTTGCTGTGCATATTCATGGATTTCACTAAGCCAGGCCTGTAAGAAACAAAACACATTATAGATACGACTTATTCAACATACAGTCAAAAGTATATTACTTTAAATTATATTATTGTTTCTCTACATAGAAATTTAATACAGAGCTGTGAAGATATGGAAACTATGAATGCTGTATGTCATCAAGGAGGTCTCTTTTTTAACCTCCTTGATGACATGTCATGTAGAAAGTTTTCTACTTAGTATATAATTATATACTTTCCACAGTAGAGAGAGGATCATAATCATGCTTCAATAGATTGAGGCTATTTGCTACATGACCTTGCTTTATCCTCAAATACAGTACAGTAAATACAGGGCTCAAAATTCATTCTTGGAAATAGGTGCACAAAAAATATTTTGGGTGCACCATATAAAATAAAATAAGTAGAATGTCTAAGCAAAAACTAATAATCATTATATTTCTTTTGTATAGGAAAGTACTACAACAATTTTATTTTTTTTTAGTTAGAAGCTAATAATATGCTGTATACTACTATAGATTTAACATCTTTACATACATAAACCTATGAAAATATTTGTGTGCACTGGTGCACCCACAGAAAAAAAAGGAAATTTGTATGCACTAAGGCAGCACATGCACCCAGTATTTTGAGCCCTAAAATAACTTTTTAAAAGTTTTAAGAAGTTGAAAGTTATAAATCCACACGACCTACAATAATTGCTCTAACCTTTGAGGGCCTTAGAGACCTGTAGGGTTCATTGTTGTGGACATGTTAGGTAACACAAGGCTGACCCTGTACCTGATTTACTGGGTGGCTAGGCTGAACCACAGTAGCCACTGTGCCTCTACATAATTGGCAGCCAACATGCCTGCCTGCACATTTCAATTTACAGGCAAATTGCTTAGAGTTTCTGTACGATAGAAAGGCATAGGATCTTTGAAAGTTAGGATACGGACACACAATGTTGATTCTATGGATTACATCACTTGGAGACTCAAAATTAGTCTAGAAAGGAAACATTTGCAAAGGAAACATTTGCAAAGCAAATGCATAATGTTTACCTTGAAGTTCGCATATGGTCTGCTCTGTTAATTCTTACTCAAACACATTCACATATATGGTGACAGAGTCTAAAACCTTCCTGCTACAAAATTGCAACATGATATAACCCAACACCAGTTAACATGGTGACAGACATCTGGTTCAGGTCATTGACCTTATTGGTTTGGAGAAGAAGAGGAAACAGAGCAAAAACAATATGTTTTCTTTCGGTAAACATAATGATAAAGGAGAAAAATTCACTTTGTGTTTTAACATGTACTTGTTAATTTCAGTAAATTCCCATCCCACTTCATTTTGAATATCAACCATATAATTACATTTCAGGATTTTAAAGACCACTTTTGCTTTAGGAAAAGAAAGACAAGACAAATTCTAAGGTTTTGCATTCAGGATGGGTATAGAAAATTGGACCTGGAACAAAACCAACATTGCCTTCCAGCTAGCTCTGTGAATTCAGCAAATGTACGGTGAGTAATGTGGAAGGCATCATGCCCATATGAACACAGCAGATTACAATTAAATTGGTTCAGTTTACTGAATCTCTGGAGGGGAAAAAGGAAACCAAGAAATAGGCTTGGAAACTTTCCATCACAAAGTTATGAAAAGTTACAATTCCTCTTTACATATAACCACAAGGCAACATTTACTGGGGAGGCTCTGCAGAGGAAATGTTGGCATCTGCTCTTCAAAATTTACGGATACGTATGGGGGTTTTATGCACACAATAAATACAGTTTGATAAGACACTTTGCAGTAGTGTGAAAATTTGGGGTAAGTCCCAATTCTGTATTTAGTGTTGGAAGTTAAAGCTCAGTCTTTATTTCATAATGGTTTGTACCAACACAGATGAACTTTTGGTTAGTATAGAGGAGGAGGGCTTAGCATAAGCTAAATAAGCTTTTTTCCCTCCTCCTGCACCTGTTTTATTTATTATTAGTGTATTATGTATAATTTTTATTGCTGTTGTGCAAATAAGCAAACAAACAAACAAACAAACAAACAGTTTTCAAGATTGCCATATTGACAAATGGACCCCAAACAATGCACATTAGTACTGCTTGTCATGTTCCTATTATAGCATGATTAGTAATGTGCTGAAAAATTACTATATCATACACATTTCGTTTCACAGAAATTGGTCTTTTCAGTCACTACACTTGATACAGACAAAAATTTCAATTAGGATTCAGTTAAGAAGAACAACAGCAACAATTTCAGCACCAAGGACAGTCAAACACCGAGAAGAAAAAATGATATATATTATAACATGATTTTGAGCAGAGTCAACAGATCAACTCTACTCCCTCTTTCTTAACCAGGTAAGGCCAAAGCAAGTAATTTTTATGGATGACATCAGCGTGCGCATTCATTTCCACCTGATTTTGGAAAAAAACAAGAATTTTTTTGCCCTCTGACAGTGTTCAACATGCCGAAAATGGGAAAAATATGTTGTAAATGACTATCTGTTCTGAGAATATCAGGGATCCAGAAAACTTGTGGCACAGTTGTTCGTGTATGATCACAAATGTTGACACTGACATGTTCCATCGCATCCAATCCAACCTAGTATAGTAGCTGCCCATGATGGTACGACTTGCCGTTTTACTAGAATTTCTAGTTTCAGGTCTTTACACATATCAAGTACAGGTAATACTGTTGAATACAATGATGTAAGATCTGTTTTTGGTTGTGATATCATGTTTTGCGACCTCAATTCTTGTTTACCAAGGCTTATTTATCAAATGCTTGGTTCCAAACTACTAAACTACTACCTTAAATCATGTATTTTGTATTTCTCCAAGGTCGTTGACCTAAGGATTCTCAGAAGCTGTTGTGGTAAAATCGAAAGGCTATTTGCTTGCTGATGGGTGGCTGCAGCTTGACTGTACTGTAATAAGATGCTAGGACCACCTTGTTGGCCTTTGTATCGATTCGCAGCCCTCAAGAGAAATATCCTGGATGTACAACAGTCTAGGGTTCTATAGCCAGCTCAAAATCTCTTTCCGTCAGCCCAGGTTTATGATCGGACCTGGGGGGAGAGTGCTCACAATCTAGGGGGGTCCAGGGACAAATTTTGGACTTTCAAGGCTTTAAAAATGCAATTTTCACACAATTTGAGAGGCAAATCATGGTGTTGAGAATGGTAGTTGGTAGTGCTGTGTACCTAAACCCACATTTAGGTTCAGGTCCAGATTCAAGTCCAGGGGTTTAGGTTCACTTCTGAACTCTTAGGTCCAGACCTAAACCCATGGAATGTACAAACTTGCATGTAACCTTGCAATGTTGTTCGGGCAAAACTGTGGCCACATAACATGGAGGCTGACACTTGACAATGCCTAAAAATTGAATGTTTTCTTCATTTTGCAGCACAGATTTTGCAACCTATGGAAGGTTTTAGGTGGTTTGGAAAGAAAAGGGGTATGTGACAGTCATGCGTTTTTTTTGCAATATTATTACCTTCGCCAAGAAGGTTATGTTTTCAGTAGCTTTTGTCCGTCTGTCTGTCTGTTTGTGAACAGCATAACTCAAGAAGCTTAGTATGCATTGTCATGAAACTTGGTAGGTGGGTAGGTCTTGATAAGACCTAGAAATGATTAGATTTTGGGCCCCCTGGCGGCTTTTGTTGGTACTGCAGCAGAACTTCCGGTTTTGATATCTCGCAATCTGGATATGTCAGGGTCACGAATTTTGGTTGGTAGATAGCTCTTGAGGTAGGGAAGAAGTGACATAAGTTTGGCCCCCCTAGCGCCTTGTTCTGGAACTGCAGGAGCATTTGTTGAAAAATTTTTGAAGGATGATAACTCAAGAACCGGTGGACGGATTGTCATGATTTTTGGTATGTAGGTAGCTGAAGTGATGCTTGACACAATCAAATGATAATTATGCAAATCAGGAGCTAATTTGCATAATTAATGAGTAAATTCTATAAATCTGCTTCGTTCGATAATAGGACTATGAAACACGTGTGACATGTAATAGAGAACGAAAAAAACATCTGAGGATATAGATTATGTAAATGAAGACCTAATTTGCATAATTAATGGGAATATTTTATAATTTCATAGTTGTAACTTCTGGGAATTTCATACTTGCCACATTTGGAAGTTAAGTGAAGGCGAACATCAATAAACATAATTTATTCAAATCATGACCTCATTTGCATAATTTATGAGAAAGTGCTATAATAGCCTTTTTGTGAAGATAAGGTTGTCATTGGGTGGAAAATATGATCAACTGATATAATCCATGCTAATGAGGCTCTTATTTTCAAAATCAATGATTAAAATTGTATGATTCTTCAACCGCAAGGGTTAACATCATTTGGCGAAGGTATGAGATCGTGGAACTCTTGTTAAGTCTTGAACCGGTTCTTGACTTTTAGGTTTTTCTTACTTGAATCTAAACATTTTTAGAAGTCTGGAACCAGTCCAGTGAACCGGTACATAGCACTAGTTGTTTGTGGTCCTTTGGATGTTTTTGTATTTTTACCCCAGATTTTTCTCAATTTTATCCATATAGAAATTTTTCCGTCACATACCACGAAGTTCCTGCAATTGACGAAAAAATTGGTGGTTGCTAGAGCTCTAATAGAAGCAAAGCAGGCATGGCATGGGGCTTATGCTGACACAAATATACTGCCTGGAGGTTGAGATGGATTCCATGGATCAGCCTGGATTGTTTAGTTAATAATGTGAGATGATACAGAGAGCTAGCCATATCCAACATTTGAAGGTGACCTAATATATCCAAATTGTCTCATGACTTTATTCTCAAACATGATAAATAGTAAACTGTAATATCAGTGTTAGAAATACCCATCTGCAGTCTGCATTTTGCAGACTCTTGAGATATTTTCAATATTGCAGAAGAAAAATTAAGCAACCTGCAATTTTGCAGACTGAAGAAATCTGTCATCAATGGTGTCTAGAGCTTTTGTGTTTATAAAAATTACTACTGACTCTATAAGGCCATGTTGATTTGATTATATGGATGACATCCACGCGCGCATGAATTTTCGGCCGTTTCCAAAAAAAAAGTTTTCAACCATACTGTAAATTGTACAAAACAGTTGCAAAATGAGCAAAAATATACCGTAAGTTAAAAAAAAATAATAAATAAAAACTATGAATGCCAAAATCAAACGACAAAAGACGAAATTGTAAAGAAATGAACTTGAAGACTAGATTATTCGCCAAACCATATTCTGTCCCATTTGTTCAACCTTCAAAACCATGTACATTTCATAATGAAAACAACTTTTTTTTTTTTTGCAAACTTTTTATTCGCACGCGCGCATCAGTTTTGAGGTTCTCCTCGGATGTCATCCATATAATCAAATCAACATGGCCTAATGCTGTAATTTTGTATTTTTTTTTAAATTGCATGTACAATGCTTGCCAACATGCAATTTTGTATACGCCATGGGTTTAGATTCAGACTTTTAAATGTGTATTTGCAGAAAGTCTTTGCAAATTGCAGAAAAAATTTTGACATTCTGCCAAAAAAAGTATTTCTACAACTGAACATTGAAATACATAAGAGAGAAGATTGACTTTCTATAAATGCAAAGTTTAGAAAATATGTACAGTCATATCAGAGGATGGTATTCATGTCCTTATGCCATGCATGCATAAATGGATTTGTGAGGTTTAACCAACATGACATTGGAACAATATGTTCAGAATTGTAAGTTTGGAATGGTCATTAGGAATTCTGCTTGGATTCGAGGTGAACAGCTTGCATACAAATGTTGTGGTAAAAGTGCTTCACAACTAGTGCTAAGCAGGGTTGAAAACGTCCTTTAATTTGGGCTGACGGGTTATCCTTGCTCGACTTCAAAGAAAGGCAATGAATAACTAGAAAGGTAACATTTGCAAGCAAATGCTTCAAGTTTTTGCAGCCATTTATCCTCATGGTTCAGCTTAACAAATTTACTCAAACACACTCATATATATGGTGATGAGGCAGACTGTTGAACTCATTTCTGCATGTAACCCAATACCAGTTACCATGGTGACAGACTTCTGGTCCTGGTCATTGACCTTATTAGTTTGGAGAAGAAGAAGTATGTTTTCCTTCAGCGAAGGTATTACGCATAACTAGACACTTACTCTGATGTTGTCAAAGGATGTCTTGTTGGTGACATCATATAGAAGCAGCAGGGCTAAGGAGGAAACAAAAGATATTTACTACAAGTTTCAATAGAAAGTGTCTTATAAATAATTAAGTGCCATCATCTTTTCCTTTTGTACTATGAATAATACTTTAGACACTGAAGATGCAGAAAAAGATTAAGAAAAAAAGTCTTAACAAGTTTGCAATTGTCAGTAGCTTGTACATTTATGCAGCTAAATTTTGGATTGGTTCAAGCTCGCCAATGATGCATTTATCAATGGAAACCCAAAGGGGCATGGACCTTTTTCTGTTGTGTCATGTACAATGTATATGGTGAAAACAGCATACTGGTATCTTTAATCTATTTTTGATTTGCAGGTTTCATCTACATTGAAGTGTGTGGACTGAAGCCTTACCGTGTGCATCTCTGTAGTAAGCATGTGTTACACTACGGAACCTCTCCTGGCCAGCAGTGTCCCAAATCTACAGGTAAACAAAAACAACAACAACATTATTATTATAGTACATAGTATGAAAACATCTTGCCACACAAAAAGATAATACTGGGTGCATGAAAAATTGTGCACCTTAGTGCACACAAAATTGGAGCTGTGCACCCAATTTTTTTCTGTTGGTACACTGGTCCACCCAAATGTTTTTGTAGGTATTTTTGCACATATCAATATATACAACATATATATAATTCTAAGTATCAGAAAAATAATAAAATCTTTGTTGTGGTGCTTTTTGAAGATTTTGAAGTTAGCTCTCATTTCAGATTCAAGCTCAGAAAAAGAGGCAGTAAGATAATTCTGTAACTAGGTTTAGGCTTCATATGGTGCACCCAAAAATTTTTGTGCACCTAATTTTTTAGGTCGGATGCACCAGTGCACCTATTCCCAAAAATGAATTTCGAGCCCTGAATACAGTCAGCCTCACAGACATGTGACTGATATCATGTGAAAATGAACTTGTATTTGTGGTTTAAAGCTTCCTGCTGATGTCTAAATCTTTACTGAAGAAATATTTGAGGCTGTTTTCTTTTGTCAGTGATCTATGGTTCATTTTAGGATCTATAGAGTACATTCTGTGCAATTCAGCAGATTGTATGAGATGCATGTTCAAGCTTGCGATAGCATCCACATCCATTCCCTTTTATCATCCATCTTCTGTTGAAGCCTCAAATGTACAGACCAGTCTGATAAAGTGCATTTTATATAAACTTCTCAATATTTGCAGTAACTTTTATCTATTTCAGAATAATGTGTTTTATCAAAGAAATTCATGCCTGGTATTTTTGTTTGTAAAAACATTGTCCAGTGTGAAGTGATATTATGTAAGATTTCCACTACTTTGTTTTACACATTTTCTTGCACTATAAGCCAGTACCTGGGTTTATAATCATTTATATTTGGGGAGTAAAAGATCAACATAGTTTGCTGCCAAAGATACATGTACCCAAACGAAAACTGCTGTTTGTTTACATTCTTTTTAGGAGCCTCCTAAAAATACAGTGGGCCAGGAGCAACTTATTCTTGCCAGAATTAGTTATTGAAAGTTATTGAAAATGACAAATGAATCTAGATGAGAAAATTAAATTATTTATATTTACAGTTTCAGCTCAAAAATCTTACATAGTATTGCTCTTTTGAGGCTGCTGCATTGTTCATAAGGCTCTCCCCTGACATTCAGTCTTGACGTTCCTACATAATGCCTTGGACATGACCTCATAAGCTCATTCCTGGCAGCCAAAATGCCATTTCCTGGAATTTATGGGAATCAATGATGGAAGTTATTGTCCATTTCCCAGACTGACATGAGTTAACGTCTTGATGCATGGGAGTTTGTGTTTCTGCCAATCCAACCTCTGTAAAAATGAAAGCGTCCCCGACGGAGAAACGCCCGTTTAAACGCCCGTTTGTGGTGGCCGTTTGTTTGGGACGGCTGCCCGTCCCTGGCGGTAAACGGGGACTACGGACGCCTGGACAAAGGCCAGAAACGGGCCAGGACGCCTCAAACGCCTGGGACGCCGTCAGAACTGTCCGTTTTCGACGGCGTCCGGGCGTTTCTTAAGGCGTTTGGGCGCCGTTTCCGACGGGCTACCGGGCGGGCTGCTGGACGCGCTCCCGGACGGGCTCCTGCGGGGCCGGGCGACGCTTGGGACGGCACAGGTGGGGTCCAAACGGCGTATCCGACGGCCGGACGGGTCTCTGGGGGGTGCTCAGTCATTGTGGACATTTTGATCTTGCCGCTCCGACGGGGTTGGGACGGCGTTTCCGACGGCGTCCCGTGACAGAAGGTGCCGATATAGTAATATTGAAAACAATTGCAGATTGGCATCGAATCAACAAGTAACGGCCGCCCACATTGTAACAGTTGCCGTAACGAGCCGTGAGTAAATACAAGTGAAGTAAATACAAAATACCATGATCAAACGAAAAAGATTTTCTTCAAGAATATAGAGTAACAAAATGTTGAACAGCGGCTGTAAACAGCGGCGAACATGCGACAACAGTAATCCACCATTGTGAGCGCACACAAACATAAAGGGCGAGGGTGTAAGAAAATTACAAGTGCAAACATTGCCTAAGTGGACATTTTAACATAATCGTCTTTCTTCATTAAAATTCGTATAGTATATAATTATATTCTACGTAGTTTTTGTGCGTCTTGGAAGATTTTGTATGAAAACAACATTGACGGTTGCGTTTGTAGATGGCAGCCGTGACGTCAGGACTTTCCCGGGCCGAACTTGTGTGCGGGACTTCGAGTCTCTTTTTGTGTATGACGTGTACATTTTTACGGCATCATCGTTCTTTATTAAAACAGCAGGTATTGTACACAATTATTCTACAAATCGTTCGTGTGCGTCTTTTTATTTTTCGGCGTTAAAACATTGAATTTCCTTTATCAGCCCGGCGGCGCATGTGACAAAATTTATGTGGGGAGGGCAGTCTCGGGGAGGACGAACAAAATATAACCGCAAACTTCTCAGCAGCCCCTGGAATTAACTAATGTTCTGTTGTGGCAATTGTAACACTGTCTTACACAGTTCCCTTGTAACATTTGACAACGAAAAATTCTTGTCCACTTACCGAGTATCCTCGAAAAAGAATCGCCGAGACAGATTGCTTCGGTACACCCAAAATTCTGGCGGCCGCTGTTTACATTCTTGGAACACCTCGTTTGACATTTTAGTCAGTCGCTGGAGATGCCCAAACTTGTGTGCAGCGTCGACGATAGATATAGCTGCTTGTATGACTGAAATCCATTCTCCAAAATTGCAGACAATCCAACAAAATGGAAAAAACTGAGGTCGACTGAGCAGCAGACGTGTTCCCCAGCCAGCCCGGTGACCGTTAAATCTAGCGCCTTCAAACTTGGCGCATGTGCGTTAGAAGCCTAAACCCCCCTGGGAAACATTGTGAAGCACGTCAGTGCCGGCCGCTGCTGTTGTCAATTAATTAATAAACGCCCGTTTCCATGCCGGACGGTTCAGGACGGGCTGGGAGCGACGGGGTGCCGTCGCTAATTTCTGGGACGGCCGTCCGGGGGAAGTTTGTGGACGCTGCCAACTGTGTTGGGACGGTCAGGACGCCGTTTCCCGCTAAGGACGGGCAGGGACGGCGTCCGGTGGGCGTTTCTCCGTTGGGGACGCTTTCATTTTTACAGAGGTAGCTTGAAGAAGAGAATTGGAGCTGTCAGGGGGGCTTCTGAATCGCCAATGGCAAATGAAACCAATTTGTGAGGATGACTGGATTCCAGGGAATATTCTGTTGTATATTGAAACTGATACTTCTGCATATATTGTACATGTCAGCTCGAAATTCATTTTTGGAAATTAATTATATTGGGTGCACAAGTGCACAGTCACAAATTTTTTGGATGCACCATATACAATAAAATACATGTTATATTAAGTAGAATTGTCAGCAAAAATAAAGTGTGTTTCATTTCTAAAGAAAAGTACTAAAACAACTATTTTATTATCTTTCTGGCACTTAGATGTTAAGAATATGCTGTATACTATTACATTTAACATCTTTACAGTGTGTAACTATATGGTTACGTAAACTTACTAAAATTTCTAAAAGTATGTATATTTTTAAAAATTCTGACTCAATGACTACATCAATGCTAACAATTCTATGTTGCCATTTTTAACATTAACATTACATTTAATGTAACACTCACACAGTTACATACTAATTAATTTCAGTCTGTTCTATTGTGCCTTTCTGGTTGCACATCACAATTCATGTATTTTCAACTGGTCATCTAACTATGAAATTTAGCATTATTTGTCATTTGAACCTCTTCTGATACAATCAGGCAATGTGCCAAAATTGTGACTACATGTATATATTATCATTGTCCTTGTCAGCTTTCAATTAGCCCTCGGGCATGAAGTTGCAATAAAGAATTTATCATTATCCAATTTGCCAAAATTGCATCCTCTTGAGTTTTAATTGATGTAAAGGAAACTATCAAGGGTCAGAACTGTGTGTTTTTATTTTATAAAATTATCTGTGGGGAGATATAAGAGGCCAAAATGTGACTGTAAGCAATATTGGACTCCCCAGAATGGACCCTCCCACTTCTCCAGTGATCCGAGCTTAGGCGACACCAATTTAATTTCTTGGTTAACGGATTTTTGAAGAAAAATAATGGAGCAGGTGGGCGAAAAAAAGATAAAAATAAAAACAGGCCTAAGCATCCTATTATGGTCCAAAATGGTACGATAGGAGCCATGAAGTCAACACACCAGGCTGGTTCAAAAATTAAACAACAATTTTGAACTTTTAATGATACCATTGCATTGAAAGATGGAATAACTGTAACAACTAGAATGAAAGGAACTGTTTTCAACTGTTCAGGGCAAAATATGAGCATTTTGCAGTTGATTCTGAATTTTTATTTTTATTTGCAAATCAGAAAAAAAATGAAGCGGGCGAATCCGTTAACCAAGAAATTAAATTGGTGTGGCCTTAGGGCTTGGAAAAAACTGTTGTGTTTCCTGTTTCCCTACTGACCCTAGAAAAAACTGCCAACCCTAGTCTTTTCTGCGTGTGTGCCCGTGCAAGGGACATACATGTAAAAATATAAATTTTTCAAGCGGACCAATCTCTTCTAGCTCCATGATCTGACACCTGAGTGATGAAACTTTGTACAATTGGTCTTCCATCCAACATTGACATTGAAAATACGAGTTTCCTCATGCAAGTTTTACTTTCAAATTTGTTAAACTGTATTAAATATAAGTTGAATCACAAGATTGATCACTATAGATTCCCAAAGTCTAATACATGTAAAAAAAGGAAGAAAGGAAGAAAAAAAAAATAATTTCTACCTACCTACCCTATTTTTTTCAAGACTGAAACAGGAAACGCAACATTTTTTTGCTTAGGCATTATCTGCCCATGGCCACGGAGAAGGCAATATAGCCTCCAGCCATGTTTCACTTCCATGGCTCATGGAATGAA